GTAGCAGGACAACCTCCCACCTGCCCCAGACATCATAGAATGGGGGTGCCAGGTGTGAGGGGCTGCGCTGATCTCTGCTGCTGCTCCCATAGCGGCAGAACCTGGAGACCCTCTGGGAAAGGTCAGGGTTGAGGGGCCTCAGGGGTAAGCAAGGGACCCTCCGTCCGCAAGGGGGTTTGCAGCAGTGGACTCTCACTCCTGGGGGTTCAATTGCAGGGTCCCTGACACCCCTGCCTGGCTTCTCATAGTGTCTGGGTCTGGTACCCCGGGAGCTGTGGGGGCAACTACATCCCAGGGCCTCATGGGAATGGGGCGTATGCCTCATTCCCTGCTGTGCCAGGGACCTGTGGGCCACTTGGAGAGGCTGGAGCCCCCTCCCTAGGCTTCCCAGTTACCCAGCCAGCCCTGGAGGTGGGTGCCTGTGCTGGTCTGACTGCCGGACCAGGGCCAGGGCAGCTCTGGTCAGGACAGAAGGACAGCCTTATTGGCTGAACCGCCCTGAGGCCACCCCCCCTTCAGGCTGGGCCTGCTGACACTTGGCCCACTTCGAGGCTCACCGTGGGGCCCTCCTCTCTGAAGGCCCGAAACTGCCCAGCAGATACAGGCATATAGCCCAGGCCCTGGAGTGCGGGTGGCCGAGCGCGCGCCCTGGTGGCCAAGCTGGGCAGTGCAGGCCCCCTACCCGGTCCAGAGCAGGATACGTTGTGGGGGGCTGGGCTGCCGGCTGGACTCCCGCTCTCCCTCCCCCGCCCACAAGCCTGGCGCCGGGTCGCAGGGGAGGGGAGCTTGTCTGAGGGTCTGCAGGGGGAGGCGTCCCACGGGGATCAGGTGGCCAGGCCCCCCCGCACCGGGTCAGCGCCACCGGGGCACCGCGCACAGGGCCTGAGCCCTAGGGCGCATGGTGAAGGCAGGTGCGGGCGTGGTGTCCAGGGCGGCCGTGGGGACGCCAGGCGCAGGCTGCAGGCGGAAGCGCTGGAGGAGTCCGGCGAACAGCACGAACAGCGAGGCGCGGGCCAGGCTCTCCCCGACGCACACGCGGCGGCCTGCGGAGCGAGGCAGGGGTCGGGATCCGCCAGGCCTTGCAGGAAGCCCGGCAAGGCAGGTGCTGGTCTTGGGGGTGCGGCCCGAGAGCTAGCCTGCAGAGGCTAAGGAGCTCTGACACCTGGTAGTCTGCCGCTCCCTGATTCCGACTGTGGCACCATGGGGCTGTCCTGATGACCCCTGACTTGGACCATTGTACCTGGGGCCCCCCTTCCACCCCTGATGGAGCTGCTATACATGGGGCCCCTGCCACCCGAGACCCAGCTGAGGTACCCGCAGAGAACGGCAGGAAGGCAGCTGGTTTCGAAAACCGACCGCTGGCGTCCAGGAAGTGGCCGGGGTTGAACTGGTCAGGGGTCTCCCACTGTCCCTTATCCAGCAGTACAGAGGTCAGCAGTGGGATTACAGGCGTGCCCTGCAGGGGACAGTGGCCGACCTCAAATGGGTACCTCCAGGCAGTTGGGCAGGTGAGTGGGGGTACCCTAGGACAGCCCATCACACCAGTGACCCCCCCAGATCACACAGCAAGGACCCCTCTAAGACACACCCCAGACTCCTGGCTGTGAAGCCCAGCCACGAGAGGCCTGTGAGGCAGGCCACCCTCCTACCCTGAAGCCTTTCTGGGCTGCCCATTGTAGGGATTGAGGGGCCAGCCAGGTCAGGCCACAGGGTCCCCACCTTTGGCAGCAGGTAGGCACCCAGGCGCATGGGGGCGGTGGCCTGGCGCGGCACGTGGGGCAGGAGTGTGATGTAGCGCTGCACCTCGTGGAGGACGGCATTGCTGTAGGGCAATGCGCCCTGGTCGGCTGGCTGAGGCCATCGGTCGCCTAGCACTTGGTCCAACTCTGCCTGCACACGGCCTGGGGACAAGGGCAGGCTTAGTGGGAGCCCTGCCCCCTCTGCCAGGGCCCGCCCCCTGGCTGTGAGGGGCTCACCCTGCACGTTGGGGTACCGGCCCATCAGGAGGGCGGCCCACTGCAGTGTTGCCGAGGTGGTCTCGGTGCCGGCCATGACCATGTCCAGGGTACAGGCCAGCATGTCGGCCTCGGAAAACGGGCCCAGGGGCGTGTCCCCCTACAGAGTAGGATGGGTTTGGGGGGCCAGGTTAGAGGATCTGGGAGTGGGTCCAGCCCTGCCCCTGTACCCCAACACTGCCTGGAATTGCTGAGCGTGGGGAGGGGCGCAATACAGTCAGGCAGCAGGGAGAGAAACGGAGGCTCAGAGAGGCCCCCAGGCGGAAAGAGGCACCCAATGGCCCCGGGCTCTCCCCTCTTCTCTGGGGAGGCCCCCCAACTGCACTGTGGTCCGTGGGCTGTGCAGAGGAAGGCCCTGCTGGAGGTCCGCACCTGGCCCTGCAGGATCAGCGTGTCCACATAGCCCTGCACAGGGCCCCCCCTGAGCACGTGGCACCGCCGTGCCCCCAGGAGCGTCTTCAGGATGCCACGAACCGCCTCGATCTTGCGCAGGACCGGCCGATGCAGCCCTAGCAGGGCACCCAGTCTGGGGAAGATGTTGAACATCTGCGGGGGGGTGAGAGGGTGGGGGGTGGCAGCGGGGCCACAGGTGAGCAAGGGAGACCTGGGTGGTCAGTCCCGTTGTGGCCACCTGAGGGTGCCCAGCATGGTGAGGTGTCAGGCTTTACCCAGAACTGGGCAGCCAGCCTCCATCTGCCCCAGAACTGGTGAACCAGTCACAGCCGCAGCCTGCTCTTATGCCCCCTTTTCATCCACCCGAGGGAATAAGGAGCACCCACCAAGGTGGGTGTTTCCAACCCCAGGTGCCCTGGTGGCACAGTGTGTCCCACCCTGGGCTGCTGACCACAGGTGGGCAGTTCAAAATCGCCAGCTGACAACCCCCCCCACCCCACCCCCCCCCCCCCCCCCCCCCCCGAGAAAGACCAGGCTTTCTATTCTACTCCCATGAAGATTCGCAGTCTTAAAAAAACTAATTAAGAGTCATGTTCTTGGAAACACACAGGGGCAGTTCTACCCTGTCCTACAGTGAATGGGAGGGGAGTGGAGGGCCAGGGAGGAGAGAAAGGGTGAATGAGGAGTGATGGCGTGGGTGAGGAAGGAGGGGTGAGGGAAAAGGAAGGGGGGAGGGGGGAGGGAGGAGTGAATGGGTGAAAGGAGGGAGGGGTGAGGAGGGAGGGGTGAGTGGATGGAGGTGGCCATGTGGATTAGGCTAGGGTGGACTCAACAGTCCATGTGGAGGGATTTCAGTTCTTGGAGACCCTCTGAGCATGAGTCTGGATGCCACCCTCACTTGCCACAAGGGGTGGGACCTAGCTCCATCAGTGGACCCCAAATCCAGGGCTCTTTGCTGCCAGGTGGCAGCTGGCTCCTGCAGGGCTGGGGGTGGGGGTGGGACGCCCCTCACCTGCAGGCCGGGGGAGCCCAGGTGCACCATGACCTCATCAATGAGATGCAACAGGGAGACGAACAGGGGGTCCTGGTACTCAAACCGCTGGCCAAAGAGGAGTGCGAAGGTAATGTTGGAGGTTGCCCAGCCAAGCACAGGCAGGGGGAAGGGCCGGCCTGCGGCACAGAGAGGTATCAGCAGGACAGGGACCCAGGAAGGGGTGCCCAGCCCCACGAGGACCCAGGGGACATGGCCAGAGGGACCCAGGAGAGGGTGACCAGCTGCTGCTTACCCTCATAGCTGCTTAGCTGTGCCAGCAGCTGCCCCAGCTCCACCAGGGCCCTGTGGGTGGCCGGGGCCCTGCCCATGCCCAGGCTGTGCAGGGTGCGGACAGTGAACTGGCGCGCCACCTTCCAGCCAGGCCCGGAGGAAAAGAAGACCCCTGTGTGGGCAAATACTGCAGGTCAGAGGCAGGTCAGCTGGCCCTGCCCCTGCCCCTGCCCCATCTAGGGCTGTGGGTGTGCTGCATCTGTTGGCTGTGCCTGTCCTCTCCTGTGGGGCTCACCACTCCCTTCCGTGCCCCCACCCCAGGCCCAAGACCACAGGCTTCCCTCCAGCTCCCACCCCGAGCTCCCCTCACCTACCCCTTCCTTCCTGGATGAGCTGGAAAATAGGGATGGGAGGCCGGCCCGCCAGCTCCGGCCCTGTGCCCACCAGTGCGGCCCGCACCGCCTCAAAGCCAGTCAGCACCACTGTCTTCTGGGGGCCCAGGTGTACCGTGAACACCGGCCCATGGCGCTCTGCCAGCTGGGGTGAGGGGGCAGCGACAGTAAACGCCCTCAGACCCCAGGTCCCCCCAAGCCCTCAAGGGACCTAGACCCCCAAGATCCTCAGGCCCCAGGCCCCATGTGCCCCACTGCCATAGACTCAGCTCTGGCCTGGGGCTGGGGGAGCCATGGGGCAGGGGTCCTGGCCCTGTGGCCCCCACAACCCCCGCTGGTCTCGCTGGGAGCTTGGCTGGCTCACAGGCCTTACCGCGCCCGCCCAGCCGCTGTCCCACCTCCATCAGGGAGCGATCCAGTTGCCTCATGTCCAGCAGGTGCAGGTTCCCCACCAATGGCCAGGGCCTCGGGCCGGGGGGCCAGCGCTGGCTGGGGGCCGGGGCTCGGCGCAGCCCCCACAGCCCCAGGAGCAGCAGCAGCAGCAGCAGCAGCAGCAGGACCACTTCGGCTGGCAGGGCCATGATGTTGGGGTGGGGGGGCCCTGGGCCACACCCGCCCTTATAGGCCCCACAGAGGGGGCGTGCCGCTCCCCACCCTGCCTCGCCCCAAGAATGCAGTGTGAGCAGTTTGCTGGTGGCCACCCCAGCTCACAGAGGTGGGGCGGGCAGTGTGGGGCCCGCTGGGGGCCCGGCTGGGCTGTTCTGCTTGGGGCTTCAGTCCCTGGACTCAGAGACATGGACCTGTGCCCACCCCTTGCTTTGCCTCAGGATCCCCTCACAGGCATGGCCCCCACCTCCTGCTCCCTCTCCAGCACCCCTAGGTGGCCCAGAGTCAGGGGGCTCCCGTTAACCCCACATTGTGGAATGGGGGCCCTCAGGGCTGTGCAGGGCAGCAGCTCCACCCTGGCTGACCTCCCCTCTGGCCACACCCTCGATGGGCCCCTTGGGGTGGGGCGGGACAGGAGGCAGGGTTAGCCACCTAGCAGGGTGAGTGAGCCTCTGCCATCTGTGGGATGAACCCCAATCCTGTAAACCCTAGTGGCCCACCTGGAGGGGTGGCTGCCCCTTGGGGAATAATCTTGGGGTGACAGCAAGCTGGCTGCTGGCACCAGAAGTGGCCAGGCCTGCTTTGCACCACCTGCCCCAGCATGAGGCAGCAGCTGGGGCCCTGTCCCCACCACTAGGGCCTCGCCCCAGCTGTCTCCCAGGGTTGCAGTTAGAGCCTAAGCCCAGGGCAGAGCGGCCTGGGCTCCGCCCTCCGCACTGGCGCTGGCAGAGAGCTCCCGCCTCCAAGAGCCTGGGACAGGCAGCTCAGCAAGTGGCCACTGAGTCCCTGCCTGGTGCCAGGACCACAGATGGTGACCACAGAGGACCTGCCCCCCAGCTCCCCGGGCCTAGCTGGAGGGTCTCACAGCAAACATTGTATTTGCGTTGGAATCAGAGGATGAGTGGAGATTGGCCAAACTGGTGGGAAGGGCATTCTGGGAGATGGGAGAGCAAAGCTGCAGGCCCAGGAGCAGGCCGTGGCGGGGCGGCCGTGGCATGAGCAGGCAGGCAGGCATGGCTCAGGGGACCTCTTGGGAAGGTATTGGGGTCCAGGGGGCTGGGGTTCCAGGCCCAGTTTCCTCAGCAGGTTGGGGGTGAAGACATAGCTTAGAAGTGTGGTGTCTGTCCAGATGCCCGCCACAGCCTGTGGGCACTGGCCAGGACGCCCCTGACAAGACCCCACCTCTCTGCCAAACAGATACTGCAGTCCCAGGCATCCGAGGTCTGCAGAGCCAATGGACAAGGCCATGGGGGACAGGACGGGGTGGTCACGTTCCATGACCAGGGATGACCCAGCGTCTCGGTGTGTGCCCAGAGCTAGGGAAGGGGTCTCCACAAGGGTTCTTCTGGGAGCCAGTGAATGGGACCAGCCAGGCTCCCTGGGGAAGGACAAGAGGCTCCATCCACCCACGGGAGGCCGGCTTAGCCAATCAGAACTGATCAACAGGGGCTCAAGCCCAGAGTCCCTCAGTCGATGCTGGCCCAGGATGGTGGGACAAGGACGAGGGTGGGGGCTGGCCAGGGGGACTTGACCGTCAAGAGGCTTAACAGAAGGAGGTGCCATTGGGGTCCCACTGGCCCCTGATACCCCCACGTGGGTCAGAATAGATCTGACCACCATGAGCTTCCTGGTGTTGGGCTGAGATCCTCAAGGTCGGCAATTCGAAACCACCAGCTGCTCCTCCGCAATTCGAAACCACCAGCTGCTCCTCCGGAGAAAGATGGGACTTTGGAGTGAGTCTCAGGAACCCACAGGGGTCAGTTCTACCTTGTCCTGTAGGGGCGCTGTGAGTCAGCGTCCACTTGATGGCAGTGAAGTTTAAAAAAAACAAAAAAAGGTGTCAAATTGACAAAGTCAACTCCAAATGTCTGTGGGAACCGTCAGGGCAGTGAGGTGATGTCCCTGGCAGGGAGGGGACACAACAGAGAGGAGGCTGGACCAACCCAATGCAGCCCTTCTTTGATCTCCTGCCCGCTGCTCCCATAAGCACTGACTGGACCCGACATGGGCCCCCGTGCCACCAGCGCACCTCTTTGATGCCAGCAGAGGGTCTGAGGGCCTTCTGTACGCTGAGCTTCACTGTCGTGTTTATTAGAAGATTTCAGGGGCCATGCTTTTGCTTAAGGGACACAGATGATTTCAGGGGTTCCTCCAGCCTCCGTGACTCGGCGCAGTCTGGACTGCATGAAAATGTTCAGCTCTGCTCTGCATTTCCCTCTTCTCATCGGGGTTCCTCTGTGGAAGTCGTTTGCTATTTGATGCCAAGTGTGGGACACTTGCGGTGCCACAACAGACAAACCAAATACACTGCTATTGGGCCGATTCACAGCGACCCTACATGACAGGCTCACACTGCCAGGTCTCCGAGGCTATAACTCCTTATGGGAATAGAAAGCCTATCCCCAAACTGCCCAAGGAGCAGCTGGTGGTTGTGAACTTCCAACCTTGGGTTAGCAGCCCGGCATGTGACCAGGGCTCCTGAAATACTGTAGGTGCCTTAGGTGGTCATTCACACAGTGGCAACGCAGCCATAAGCAGGAACCTGGGCCTCTTGGACCCTTGCTTTCTGTACCTGTGAAATGAGGCCAGAGTGCTTGTCTCACTGGATCTGTCCATTTACCCTAGAAGTATAAACTGAGCACCTTCTGTGTGCTAGCCCTGCGCTCCACTCGGAAGCCCCCGGGGAAACACCCAGTCGGGGCTTGACCTCAACACACTGGGTTCCCCCTGCCTCCAACCCTGAGAGCTGCAGGTTAAGGGCTTCTCCCTCCCTCCAGCAGACCATGCCCAACAAAGCAGCCAGCCCCTCCACTAGCCATGGGACTGCTCCTCCCAGTCACCAACCACCGGCACATCCCTGTCCCCCTGGGGGTGCTGGACCCAGCTCACTGCTAAGTGGTGTCCTCTGGCCAAGAGGGAGAGTCCAGGCCGAGAACGACTCCATTGTGATCATACACAGCTCTGGACACAGATTAATGAATAAGCCAGGGCAGGACTCCATTGTGATCATACACAGCTCTGGACACAGATTAATGAATAAGCCAGGGGAGGACTCCATTGTGATCATACACAGCTCTGGACACAGATTAATGAATAACCCAGGGCAGGCCCGGTGACAGGGGTAAGGGACAAGGGGCAATTTCCTTCCCAAGTGGGCCAGCAGCCCATGCTGGACTGGGAGGAGGGTGGGAATAGGGAGCCAGCAACCCAAGGCGATTAACTGGTGCAGGGGGAAGTGTGCCCGTGGAGATCTGGGAAGGCTTCCTGGAGGAGAGGGTATCCAGCTGACCCTGGCAGACCTACATGCCAGTTGAGCCCTTGTCAATAGGGATGGCTGGCACTGCTGTACACTGGAAGTTGGGCAGCTAACAGGTCAGGGGGTGAACGCACTAGCTTCTCTATGGGAGGAGAAGAGGCTTTCTGTGCGCACTCGGAGTTAGTCTCTGAACCCCACAGCAGCAGTTCTCCATCCTACAGGGTCACAGTGAGTCAGAATAGACTCTGTGGCAGTGGGCCTTGACGTGGAGTCACTGATGAGGCAGGGGTTGGCGTCCAGGGTTACCTGCTGGGCTGCTAACTGTAAAGTCAGCAGTTCAAAACCACCAGCCACTCTTCGTGTGAAAGATAAGGCTGTCTACTCCCGTAAATAATTCCATCTTGGAAACCCACAGGGGCAGTTCTACTCTGTTGTGCAGGGTCCCTGTGTGTCAGAAACAACATGCTGGTGCTGACTGGTCTGGTGGTGCAAACTGGGAGCAAGCCTGGCCAAGGAAAGGTGGGCTCCCTCAGAGTGAAGACTTGACCCCTCAGCCCGAACCCCATGGGCACAGCGATGCCTGCCCCTGAACACTCAGCCTGAACCCCTGTGCCAGGGTGCCCTTCAGGCAGGTGGGTGGGTGCCCATGGGTTTGCCTTCCTCTGCGTGGTCCTTTTCCAGGGCTCTCCTCGAGGGACAGCTGCTCCATGCCCAGGGCCCCTCTCTCCGTCTGGGCCAGCAGTACCCCAATTCCCATTGAGAGGTACCCTAGACTTCAGCTGCATGTAGAGTTGGGGTGTCCTCAGCTTTCTCTGCCTTCCTGGGAGGTTCCATCTTCCCTGCAACTGCAGTCACTGGCCTGTGCTCTCTGAGGCCCAGCGCATGGACAGAGCTCCGCTCTGCTCGTCCACTCACCACCACAGCCTCAGCAGTCCCTGGGCGGCAGCAGATGGTGGGGGTGGGGGACTGCTTCCCACATCAGCTCCCTCCAGCCCTGTCTGTAGCTTGGAGTGGGGGCACCCAGGGAGCACTGTCAGTCTCAAATGCCTCAGCCTGATGTGTGGCGGCAATTAGACCTGGCAGGCCCCTGCACACTGGCGCAGGACAGGGTGAGGGGCCCAGTGCAGAGGGGTGTGGTCTGGACACAGCCAGTGCTCCAGCATCAGACAGGAGGGGGTGTCCTGCTAGACCATCCCTGTCCCTGCAGACAGGGACACAGGTGGCCATGGCCTGGGGGTGGCCCCGCCCTCAGCTGCACGTGGGATGAGCTGTGTACCCTTGGGCAGGTCACTGGACCTCTCCGAACGAATTGCTACCTATTCATACCCTGGGGCAGCTCCAGGTCTCTGTCCAGTGGCGGAGAGAAAGCACAGAAGCGGGCAGGGGACGGGGCATGTGGGCGGGGCCTGCAGGGCCGGGGCGGAGCTGTGCAGGGCGGGGCCGCCGTTCAATGCGCTCGTGGCTCGCGCAATGCCTGCTCGGCGCTCGGCCGGCCGCCCTGCGTGCTGCGCCTGCGTGCGCCGTGCGTCGCGTTTCCAGTTCCCAGGCAATCATGTCGACGGCCATGAACTTCGGGACCAAGAGCTTCCAGCCGCGGCCCCCCGACAAGGGCAGCTTCCCGCTGGACCATTTAGGTGAGAGGCAGAGGAGGGACCGGCCCGCGCTGCTGCTCCCGAGCGCCTGGCCCCCGGCCTCGGTCAGCCCGGCCCGGAGGGCCGCCGCCTCCGCTGTGGAGCGAGCTTCACCCCGCGGCCGGCTGGGCCCGCCCACCAGCTGGACAGGGCCTCCGCACCCCTCGCCCCGGGCCACCGAGGGCCTTCAGCCCCGAAGGCCGCCCCTCTTCAGGGTCTGTGCCCCGCTCTCTGCGGGGTCTGTACCCCTCTCTACGGGGTCCTCCCTTCCCAGGCCCTCTGCCCCTGTCTCAGCGGTGTCCATACCCACCTTTCTGTGAAGTCTTCCCGCCACCCTGCCCCCGGCCTTGCACCCCTCTCTGTGGGGCCCCCTGCCAGGCTGTGCACACCTCTCCTGGGACCCCCGACGCTCACCTGGTGGCTGTGAGCTGGAGGAGACCTGAGACAGTAGTCGTGGATTTGGGATCAGTGCAGGGCTTCGGAGAGCTTGTGGGAAGGTGGCATTAAAAGATAAGGGGGCTTTGCGGGGGATTTTGTTGAACCCTTCCTAATCTCAGGGAAAGCATTGAGGGTCCCTTCTGGGTGTTGCGTAACCGGGGAGAAGCCCCTGGCAGCGAAGTGTTGGGTGCTGACCATCAGGGCGGGGTTCGAATTCACCCAGAGGCACGCAGACCTGGCCATCTCCTCCCAGAAACCACCCTGGCAGGTCTACTCTGCCTTGCGAGGTCCCCATGAAACCAGCAGCCAGGGCCTGTCTGGGAGGGCAGCCCACCCGGACTCGGCAACAGCGGGCAGTAAATAAACACGCCTTGCCAATGACGATGTCTGTTGTTCCATTCCAGCGGCATGATTCACGATTGCAACACCAGGCCCACTGCCAAGGGGGCGTGTCGGGGGCCAGATTCTCCTTTGCTGACCAGATACACTGCCCCTTTCCTCGCAGGCGAGTGCAAGCGCTTCCAGGAGAAGTTCATGAGGTGCCTCCGGGACAGTCACTTTGAAAGTGCCCGGTGCAGAAGCGAGTCCAAAGACTACTTAGAGTGCCGAATGGAGAGGCAAGTACCGCCCCGCCGCCTCGGGCCCTGCCAAGATCACCCCGCGGGTGCTCCTTGTGAGCCGCCCTTACCAGCCAGCCGTCCTCAGATGATCTCGGGATGGCCTGGTGTTGCCCGCTCTCTGACCCTTGTCTGATGTCAGCACCACTCCTTCATCAAGGTGTCCTGAGGTCTTTTCTGGGGGGCACAGCGCTGTACAGGGCTGCCTCCCATGAGCCTTCCCCAGCCGTCTGTCCCTCAGGTGGGTAGGGTGTTGGCCGAGCGCCAGGAGGGTGCAGCTCCCTTCCTGGGCGGCTTGGAATGGGACCAGGGAGACAATGCCTGTCTGAGAACCAGTGACTGGTGCAGGCCCCTCCTGTCCCATCCACAGTGGGTGGGCACTCACCCACCATGGGACCCACCACTGGTCTAGCCTGCCCCGCAGAGACTGGCTTGAAGTCAGAGACGTGAAGAGCTGAACCTTGTGATTATGTTGCCCGGGCTGGGCACCGGGGTGTGGGCAGCGTGCCTTTCCCGCCCGGAGCCACCTGCAGGCACAGAGGTCCCATGCAGCCTGGACTGCGTGGTGACAGGTGGCAGGAGGGCCCAGGCCCATTAGCTTTCTCTTTCCCAGATCACACTGGGGCACACCCCCTTAGTCAGGCTCTCAAGTGTTATTTATGGGCCCTCGAAGTGCGTGGGTGTTCTGGGCTCTCTATTCTTAGGGCCCCAGGGGACCGAGTTCTGCCTCTGAACCCCTGTCCAGGGCCTGCAGGGGGCCTTCCTCCACCCTCAGCCTTATCATCTGGAGTGGGCCCTACTTCCTCAGAGCTGATTGAGTGGATTTCTCCTCTGTGTCACCGTGCTGTGGCGACAGGTGTGGCGTGGCCTGAGGTATCCTGGGGAAAGGTTACCTCCACACTGGGTGGGTAGTGGGAGGCCAGAGTCTGCTCAGCACAGGTCTGGGGCCCCAACAGACAGCCCACCCTTCCGGCTTTTTGTTATATATTGGTGCTATCTATTGTCATTGGGTGTTATCTGTTGGGTGTTGTCCTGTGATGGGTTCTGCCTGGCTCAGGCCTGCTGTCCTGGATGGGTGCTGTCTATTGTTGATTTAGGTGCTATCTGTTGTTGGGTGCTGCCAAGTAAAGACCCCATCAGACAAAGGGTACTGCCCTGCAGGTTCCTAGGCTGTAGTTGGTAGGGTCTCTCCTTCCCCAGGCCCAGCCCTCCAGTGCTGCCCACATGCCTACACAGCCGCTCCTCTGAACGATCCAGGGGCCCTCGGGTCTTGGAGGGGCACTCAGGGGCTTGGGCAGGCACTGTGACCACAGAGCAGGACAGAGCCAGGCTGGGGGACTCCTGTGGGATTCTGCCCCCACCTTCTGCCTGAGGAATGACAGGCCGCCTTCTCCCAGGCAGCTGATGGCCCCAGAGCCGCTGGAGAAGCTGGGCTTCCGAGACCTGAAGGCTGAGGAACCAGCCACATAGGACAGATGTTGATGAGGTAGTGCACATCGTGCTGCACCCCGCACAGCCGTGAGGCCTGCCCCAGGGCACCCTCACCTGGGCTGCAGGTGACAAACTCACCACATAGCTGCCTCTGCGGTCAGCGTGGTGGTCCACTTGGCACTCCTTGATCTACTGCGACAGTGCCCTGGACTCCTGCCCTCTGGGCTGGCCTAGCGCCTCCCTTCACCAGCTTGAGCCCTCAGCCCCTCCCTTCCCCGCCTGTCGAATAAAAGGGTTGACTGAGTCTGGCATGTCCGGCTGCCTTTGTGAAGCCTGCACCCTCATCACTGGAATCTGGTACACAGGTGGCAAGTCTGAGCTGACATGTTCCCCTGCGGGGCCATCCTGGCTGTCCGTCCTTGTGGTCACCATGGTGACCCGATGCTGGGGATTTCCTCAGCAGACATGGAGGGAGCAGTGGGCCTCACCTACCTAGCCCAGCGCCGCTGTGGACATTTAAACCATCACCTCCAGCCCTCCACTGGCCAGTGTGGGCACCCAGGAGCCCCCTCCACCCCTGTTCACTGGCCAGCTTTAATACCCAGACTGGAGGTGGGAGGGTGGTGGTCTAGGGCGGACCTACACCTCTGCCCTGGTCCTGGGGGGGTGGGGGCTGCTGCTCTGTGTTGGACTCACTGCCATGCCAGCCCCGTTTAGGGGCTCTGAGGGAAGGTTCCATCCACTCCCACCACAGCCCGGTCAGCGGGTTTACAGGACTAGTGCACTGTTGCCTAGTTTATGAAAAGTGCTGGTTCCTGCCACCCATCGTGGCCTGCATGGAGTCCCAGGCGCCCACTGTGCAGGAGAGCACCCAGCCCTCACCCCAGGGAGGCGGAGACTGTGAGATCAGCAGGTGCTGGAGCCTGGTCTTCCAGGAGCAGGATGGACAGACGGGCTCGGAAGCCCTCCGGGACAGCCCTGCGTGCTCCTGCAGGGTGGCTGGCCATAGTTGCAGGTTTTAAAGAGGCTGTCAAGGAGCCCCGGTGGCAGCAAGGTCAGCTGTTGGAACCACCAGCCACTCCTCAGAAGAAAGGCGGGGCTCTGTATTCCCGTAAAGAGTTACAGTCTGGGAAGCGCCCAGGGGCAGTTCTGAACATGGTGATGGTCACATGGCATCTTCAAGATGCTTAAACTGTTCACTATATGAAATTACTTGTCAATAAAATGTACCTCGTGTGTGTTAGACTCTGCAGGTGGGCTGTCCAGGGTTGCCCCGGGGCAGTTTTCACAGGAAAATAAGTCCTGTGCACTTCCAGGGGCGATGCAGACAGGGTGTTTCTGCAAGCCCGAGAGCACCCCCACCCCCACTCCCCATCCCTTAGAACTGTTCTCTAACCAGCTGCGCCACACTGAGACCCCCCCACCACCCCTACCCCCCACTCCCCCCTGCCCAGTTAACCCTCCCATTCTGTTCTATAACATTGTATCTTCTGTAGCTGCAGACTGCTGGTTATGGGGATAGGGTTGGGGGGTCGGGTGCTCCGCTGGATGGGGACAGCCCTAACCAGGCTGCTATGAGCCTGGCAGGGGTTGGTTTTGGGGAGAAGCATTACAGAGGAGTCCTGGTGGCACAGTGCTTAAGTGCTCGGCCACTAACTGAAAGGCTGGTGGTGGTTTGAACCCACCAGGTGCTCTGAAGGAGGAAGATGCAGTAAAGACGAACAACACGCCCGGGGTGTCTGTCCGTCGGGACCCACTGCAGAATCTCACCTCCACGTGGGGCCCTGGTCAGGTCTGTCCATCCGTCCATCCATCCGTGGAGGCTGGGCTGGCTATGATGCTGGATGGGTCTCCTCGGAGCCTCCTGACCTCACGGGAACACTTGTCACTATTGTTTAATGTCATTATTCTTTATTTTAATAAAACATTTTATTGGGGGCTCTTATAGCTCATAACAATCCATGCATCCATTATGTCAAGCACATTTGTACATATGTTGCCATCATCATTTTCTAAACATTTTCTTTCTACTTGAGTCCTTGGTATCAGCTCCTCTTTTCCCCCCTCCCTCCCCTCCCCTCCTACCCTGGTGAACCCTTGATAATTGAGATCTTATTTTTATTTTCATATTTCACACCATCCGCTGTCTGCCTTCACCACGTGTCTGGTTCACCCCCAGCGGGGGTGAGGGGTGCCTGTCATTGCCATTGTTCCCCCTCTCTTCCCCTTCACCCCCAAATGTCCCCCACCCTTGTCACTGTGTTTTAAGCCACAAGCCAGCCAGGCCGGTTGGACTCAGCGCCCTGTAGCGCACCGACCCCCCCTCTCCCCCGGGGGGTGGGGGGCCAGGGTGTTCCAAGGACTTCTTTAAGGAGTGAGGGCGCAAACTGCCAGCCTTGCTGTTTGTCCACCAGTGTGCCGCTGGGGGGCCCCCTACTGCAGAGGCCCAGTAATTAGGGGCACCGGCCAGTGGGCCCTTTCTCTGGGAGGACTGGAACCTGTCTTGGTGCTCACCTGCCAGGACCTGTGCACCCAATTCAGGCCACCCCTGCTGGCGGCTGGTGGTGATGCCAGAGGTTGCTCCTCTGGGAATGTGGCCTAGGGCCCCTGGGGCCAGCACATCTGGATTCTCCCCCACAGTGGAGCCTGCAGTGAGGCTGCCTCCCAGGATGGGGACCACGGGCTGTGTGTCCAGAAACACCCACATACCTCTCTGTCCTTCCCCCTCATCACCTGTGTCCCTGCTCCCACCAACTCAGGCGTCCCAGACCAGTGAGGGCAGGCGTCCTGTCTACTGAACCCTTACTTGAGGTCTCATGGGGCAGCGAGGTCACAGCTGTGCCTCTGAGCTTGTCCCCAAAGGACCAGGGAGCAGAGGGCGCCCTTCTCTGCTCCTCCTCTCCTGAAGACCCCCTCCCTGCCCCACCTGCTGGTGACACCATCATGTCAGCCAGCAACCTGGTCCCTCCCAGACTTCAGATGCAAACCTAGGGGCCATGCTGAGGCCCACTTCCCTTGTACGTCTGGACAGGGCTGTTGGCCAACCCACTGCCTCCGTGTGCCCAGCCCTCCACCCTCCTGCCTAAGGCTCTCAAAGCCCCCTCCCCATCCCACCCTCATCACACACTTAGCACACTTAGAATGAAGTCCCAGAGTGCCCAGCTCCCTTCCTGAGCCTCCACTCCCCAGCTCCCACCCCCTCTGTTGGACCCCTGCCTTCCTGGTCCTGAGTCCAACCTAAGACGGGGACTGCTGGGCCATGTGGCCACATGCTGTGGGATGTTACCTGGGGGCCCAGACCCTGGAGAAGGACGTCATGCTCGAGAGAGAATGGCCCTGCTTGCGCAATGAGATGGACGGAGGACCGTAACTTTGGCCTCACACAGTAACCACTGGAAGGACGTGCAGGGTTGGCAGTCTCTTGCTGTGGACGGGTCACTGTGAGTTGACTGGCCTCACGGCCCCTAGCAACACAGCAGCCGAATCATGAGTTTTCTGAGGAGATGTTGGACTTTGCATGATGGTGCTGTTCTCTGCGACCACGAGTAGTGCCCAGGGCCTCCCTGTCCTCGCTGCCTCTGCCCCACCCGAGGGGCCTAACTGGACCTTGGCTGCTACGACCAGCTGGTCAGGGTGGTCATCCAAACCCATTAGGCGCCAGTGCACTGTGGCGGGAGGAAGGCCTGAGGTCAGCGCCCGTGAGGGTCGCTGCAGGAGGCCGGGCCCCTCTGAGCAGCCTGTTTTAAAGTGCGGGTGCTGTTTGACCTGCCTCCTCCTTAACAAGGACCCTCTGTCCCTGGAGTGTGGGTCCTCTGTGTGTCCTCTCAGGGTCAGCGTCCGCCCTCGTCCATCTAAGAATGGGCCAGTTAGTCTGAACTATGATGATGATGATGGAGTTGCATGGATCTTCATATGCAGACACTTAAACAACTGAGACCAGGAGCCCTGGGTGGCATGATGGTTACGCTTTGGGCTGCTAACTGCAAGGTTGGCTGTATGAAACCGCCAGCCTCTCTCAGGGAGAGAGGCAGGCTTGTACCCCCATGAAGAGTCAGCCTCAGAGACCCACAGGGGCCGTTCCAGCTTGTCCTGGAGGGTTACTGCGGTGAGTCCCAAGCGACTCTGGGGAAGTAAGTTTTGTTTGTTTGTCTTTTGCTCTGGGGCCCCAGGGTGCCAGTCCCACCCCACCTCCCCCAAGCCATGCTGTGTACTTGAATGCCAACCGCCAAGGTGGGGCTGACTGCCAACATCACCTATCATCCTGGTGGGTGTGGAGACACCTGAGGACCCACCAGGCCTGCACCCCCCAGAAGAGGGCACTGAAGCTTGAGCCCAAAGCCTCAGCCAGCCTCCTCTAGACCTGCCTGCAAGAGCACCGTATGGTTGGGTTGGCTTCCAGGATGCCCCTAGACCTTGGGGGGGGGGGTGACCCTGAGTGCTCACCCCTGCGTGGTGGGTCTCCAGATGTTCCTCCCTGGGTGGGGGCCTTCTGAGGCTGCTATCTGGTTTGCTCAGTCTCCCCAGCTGTATCTGCCTAGGTCGGCCCAGCAGGCACAGCCCTGAGTACCAAGCAGAGGCTGCCACCAGCCCTCCCCTCCCAGCCCTGCCCCTGGAGCCCCATGGGACTCTGAGGTCTGGCGTGGATTGACCTCCTGCCGGCCCCGGGCCTCGGGCAGTGGCTCAGGTCCAGGGCAGCAGCCGGGGGAGGCCCAGGAAGCTGGGAGGCTGCTGTCCACTCTGTCCCTGCCCATGGGGCAGCCTCAGAGAGCCACTACCAGCTGGAAGAGGCCAGTGACCTCAAGGAGAAGTGGTCACCCTCACCTTGGGCTACGTGGTGGGGGTTATGACCTTGGAGGCCCCACACACCCCAGTGGGTGCTCACCTACCCGGGGGTCTGTCCCAGCTGCTGGCTGACCAAAGGGACCCGCCTCTGCCCACTGTCTGTGGGTGGACACAGGCCCCCCCCCCACTGGGCAGCTGGGGGGCAAGGTGGATTCAGATGTTCAGGTTGCTGCCTCCCCTCCTCAGTCAGGTCTCACAAGAAGGCTGGCCTTTCGGGGTGCATGCAGGAAGCGGTGTGTATGGGAGTGGTGTGGCCAGGTGTCTGCCTAAGGGGTCTGAAAGGTAGGGGCCTTGTGAGCACATGTAGAGTGACTCTTCTCCATGAAGATGGCCCAGCAAGATGACCCCAGCTGGGACCCCGAGGCGTTGGCAGTGGAACTGATCAAGCTGGGTCAACAGAGCAGGGGCATGATGGCCTTGACCCCTCTGCCATCACTCTCCCTTACCCACAACAGACCCTTC